TGATAACAAATGCTGGCCAGGATGTGCAAAAAGGGGAGTGCTTATTCTTTGCTGGTGGGATTGCAAACTCATGCAACCTCTGTGGAAAATAGTCTGGAGATCTCTTTAAAAAACTAAAAATGAACATATCATATGACCCGGTTATACCACTCATTGGCATATACCCAAAGGACTCATCCTATTATAGAGACACTTGCACAACCATGTTTGTTGCTGCTCTTTTCACAATAGCTAAGAGATGGAAGCAACGTAAGTGCCCCTCAACTGATGAGTGGTTAATGAAAATGTGGTACATTTCCACAATGGAGTTCTACTCAGCAACAAAGAAAGATTAAATAATGAAATTTGCAGGTAAATGGGTGGATCTAGAAACTGTTATACTAAGTGAAGTAACACAGACTCAGAAAAACAAACTATCTATGTTCTCCCTCATATGTAGCTCCTAGCACCAGATTCTTTAAAATTCCAGGTCCTTTTAATAAGATGATGCTGTACAGCAGTCCCTTCTGCGTGAAACAATTACCATCATGACTTCGGCTGAACCTGATCCCTAAACATAATCACAACTGTGCTTGTTGACGGTTGTGTTCATTCATTTAAGGGGTGCCAAGGAGGGTTGCTGGACCCTCACCTGAGCTTCCATCCACTCTTCCCACTCAACTACTCCAGCCTTGGCAGACAAAATAAAAATGAGGAAGAACCCAATAGAGGGATGCTTTTTGAAGCCCTTGTGAAGAAACTCCAATGGACTCTCATAGTAACATTTGCAAATTGCCCTGTTCTGCCTTTTTTTTAGTTCCCTGACTAGAACTTGTAATGCTAATTACCCTTGCCTTTACTTCTCCTTTACATCTCCTATTCATGATTCAATGACTTCCTTTTCCCCTTAGAGCCAAGAGTTATGCAATTTGGGAGTCGTTTACATAGAAACACTTAAGGAGTACTCCTATTGCCTCACCCTGCTTCCCTCTTCAGCATGGAAGAAGCCAAAGTAGTCTGTGTCCCTATTCCCTATTGGCAATTTGGGTAACCCCTTCAGATGATGGCATAATAGGAATAAGAGGTAGGAACTGGCTAGGCAGTTAGGGTAAAAAGGCCCCAAAGAGACGTATCCAGTTTCTGAGCTAAAAGTCAAAATGTCCTTGGGCCTGTTAACAACACACTCTGTTCCAAAGACCAACAATGTCAAAAGTATATGGGAGCTTGTACCTAATGCTTAAAATATTTAGGCTGCTTCCCTGGGCCTGCCAGACCCACAGGCCTCTCTCAGACCTGAAGGCTTCTCTCTCTCAATTGGGCCCTCCGTGCCTTGACTCCTCCAGGCTCACTCACCATCCCATCTCCCCCACCAGTCTCTCCTCCTAGGCTGAGCCATTTCCCATTCCTTGTCTTGGCACCCCAGACAGCTGAGGAACCACCACTGCTTCTTCCTGATCCTGTACATCCAGAGCAACTCAGTTCCTTCCCATGTTCCCAGGAGCACTCTGGGCCTGGCCCCACCCTCACCTCGCTATGCTTCCAAGGGCCTGCAGGACCCACAGGCCTCTCTCTGATCCACAGGCTTCTCTCTCTGGGGTAAGTTGATTGGGCCCTCTGTGCCTTGACTCCCCCAGACTCACTCACCCTCCCAACTCCTCCTTTGGTATCTCCTCCTACCATGGGCCCAGTCTCATTCCTTGTCTTGGCACCCCAGACAAATGGGAAACCACCACTGCTTCTTCCTGACCCTGTGCATCCAGACCAGCTCAGTTCCTTCTCGGGTCCACTGGAGCACTCTGGGCCTGGCCACACCCTCACCTCCTTCTGCCTCCCTCGGTGTACACAACCCACCAGCCTCTTTCCTGGACACGGGGGCTGACATTTTCTCTTCCTGGCCCTTTGAATCCAGACCAGCCCAGCTTCTCAGTGCGGTCCCCAGGGGCCTTGAAACCACCTCCCAGACCCCATCTTCCTTTGCATCTGAGTGGCATGGACACCAGCTGCCCAAGACCAGCATCTTTCCTGGGACCAGCTCCCAGGCCAGTCCAACCCCAAATTCCTGAGGCCAAAATCTATCCTAGACCTTAGGCAGAAGCCTGGGAGGACCTGAATGCCACCTGACTTGGGCCTGTGTGGAAGCTTCTGAATACCTGGACTGAGGACATCTGGTCCCTCCAATATAAAATCAAAAGAGAACCTGAAGCCTAGACCAACCAGCTTTCCATGCCCAAAAATAAACCGCAAAGACACATAAAGTTTACAAACAGAGGCAGACCTAAATTCAACAAAAGAAGGCTTGAGTCTCACCCAAGAATCAGAAACTACAAAAGAAATTCACATCAAAATTATAGAGAAAAAACAACTTGAAAAACCAAAATATCGTATGACTACCAAATACCAATAGTCCTCTAGAGGAGTACAATGAGAATCCCCTCT